TGAAAAAGAATTAAGGCTATATCTGAATATTTCATATTTCCCGATAGTTGCCGAGTTCCATTTGGACTGAACTATGGAGCATGAAAAACACAAATCAAAAATCAAAAATCAAATTAAGGGCCAAAAGAAACGCACGGGTTTAGTCTGAGGCTCGACTATTTGGATAATTTTCATATTGAAATTTGAAAATGGAATCAAAAATATCGTACACTTACGCAACTTGTTGATGCCCTACTTTTAGCTAGAGAAATTGTTGCTCCTTTTCTTTTTGTTTTTTTGTTTTGTTTTTGTAATTACAAGACATTTTTAGTGGAATGGCCTGTGGGTTGTGGTGGGGGGGGAAGGGTGGGGCAGCATAAACATAAATGAAACGAGAATTTGTTTAGTGGACACCTTTTGCTAGCCAAATGGCCCGCCATTGTTGCACTTGACGCACATTCTTGGCCATCAGCGACAGCGAGGCGACCGTGAGTACACCAAGGACAACAAACATGTTGCGCCTGCTCAAAAGCCAGTCGAAGATCGATCTTTTTTTGGCTGGCGCTGCGTGCATATGGTCTGGCTGCTTTGCCACCTCCAGTTGCCATTCCTCTTGATCCAGTTGCTCCTCCTCCTCCTCCTCCTCCTCCCCCTCCTCCAGTTGCTGCTGCTGCTGCCGCGGCTGATGGTGCTGCTGTTGCTGATGGTGTATCTGTTGCTGTTGGTTCATTTCGAGTTCCAGTTGCTGCTGCAGCAGCTGATTCTGCTGTATCTTCTTCCACTGGCGCCGCCGTATGCCCTGCATCTTTTGCGTATAGTTCATGCTGTAGATGAGCAGATAGCGCACCTGCAGCAGCTGGGGCAGCTCTGGGGACGCCTGGCGACGCAGCTGGCAGACGGCGACGCTGCGCAGCAGAGTGCCGCATATGGAATAGCCCCAGCCGGGACACCATTCGGCCATGCTGCATGCCTGCTCCAGATCGTCGTAAAACTCTAGCTCCGAGCTGCCGATATCATATGTGCCGGCGGCAATGAGCGCATAGAGCTCCTCCATGTCGCCGCAAAAGTAAACACAATTGGTCACGTCCAGTGGCTCGACCGGCTCCGCATCCTGATTGCGCTGCTGTACTCGAAATACCAGATGTGGCCGTGGCTCTGGCTTCTGCTCCAGCTGGCGCCACAGCAGCGGCTGATCGTTGCGCTGCAGCTGACGCAACTGCGGCGTGCCGCTCTGTATGAGCAGCCAGTGGAGCAGCTCGACCTGCTCCGGCGGCAGCACATTCTGCAGCAGACGGCGCTGAAAACTGGCCAGCTCCGACATGGTGCCGGCCACATAGCTCAGCGAATTGATGTTGAAGCCGGCGGGCGTGCAATACGCTGGCGGATACGGCACCAGCAGCTGCTCGTAGCGATAGCTCTGTATGGCCATGCCGAATAGCACCCATTTGGCATCGACGCCCAGCAGATCCTTGTCCAGCTCGGCGCGCAGCTCGTCTATGACTCGCAAGCGCCTCGATTCGTTCATCACATGGATCAGCATTGGGTCCATGTGGCTGCGGGGCACACAGACGCAGATGCGTCCACGTCGGCCGCAGCTGCAGTTCCTCCATTCATATTGCCGTCCACGTTCCATCTCCCACTCGCTCTCTCTCTCTCTCTCTCACTCTTTCTCTCTCTCTCTCTCTCTCTCTCTCTCTCTTCCTCTCTATCTCTGTCTCTATCTCGCTGTCGCCAACACTCTGTCAGCGACTTCGGGCAATTTAATTAATTTCTTTCAAATATTTAAATATATTTTCTATTTGCTTTTGATATGTTTCTTAGCCGCCTTCGGAAACTCTTTGAAAAGCGAAGCAAAATTTTGAAAATGTGTTTTTTGTGCGTTTTCCTATTTGTATTATTCAAAAGTAATATTGGAGTCGACTGTGCTCTATGAAAAGTACTGATTGGGTATCGGATACACGCTGCATATCACCGACAACTTGTCCCGGGACAATGCGTGAATATAATTTGGAAAAATTAATTAACATTGATATTATAATACAATAAATATAATAATATTCTCCCAAGTTATTCGGCTGTATTGGCTTAGTGTTGTCAATGTAAAAGCTGAAAATTTACTGAATCGCCTCCAAAGCTGTCGACCTGAAATCATCCCAAAAACTGATGCGAAATCAAAAGGCTACTTTGCCAGTGCAAAGTAAACATCAAACATCAAAATTCCTCTTCATTGTATCTATTATAACTATTGTTATTAGTATTTCTCATTTGAATGAATGCACGCCATGAAAACATTCGTGACTTCCATCTTGAGCAGCTTTGAAAAGTTAGGTGTGTTGTGCCCAGGACAAAGCACCTATGTCAACCCTTACGCTGGGCAGTTTTTAACAATTTATAAGCCATTTGGAGATCTTCGGCCATGTGAAAAAGCAGCTAATGTGCGACAATAGAAACAACATTGAATCAATTTAAGTCGATTTAAAGCTCTATTTAACTCGAAGAAAATAGGAAAACATGCCCAAATCGATTAGCCTAATAGAAAGAAGGGGCATTCCCGCCCAAGTTTCGATCAGATGGAATGCTCTTTTAATACTAAATGGACTCCTATTTATATATATATACATGTGCGTGTATATATATGTTGGCGAAGCCAATTCTTAGCTTTTTACAGTTAATTTTCTAGACGCTTGGGCGTTCTTCAATTACGAAAGTTTAGCCAACAAAACTTGGCCAAGTTAATAACATTTATCGCTCTTCATAAAACATGTGTGTGCGTGTGCGCGTGTGTGTGTGTGTGTGTGAGTGCCGCTCTGTGTTTGTCCTTTTGGGCCAGGCTAAAAGTTATTGCAACAAGTTTAACCTCTTTCTTGCGCACTGCCAAGTGTTTCGCCTGCCGTATCCGGTTTCCGCATGGGATCTATTGCTTGGCCACCGCCTCCCTCTTGCCCACCTTGTATAACTTGTAGCCAAACAAATTGTGCCGCACACACACATGCACAGATATAATAGTTGAGCAATTCCTTTTAAGTTCCTTTGCGCTTGCCGCCACTTGCCAAATTCTCGTGTGGATTCGCCCCGCTGGCAGCTCGTGGCCTTCTGCTGCCCTGTTGCATTCGGCTAATTGATGGCTGACGTTTAAGTTTTTCATATTCGTTATCGTTTATTTATTTGTATACCCTGAACCCATTGAATGATGGGTAAAATGGTTGATCAGCATCAACAGCCGAGTCTATCTGACCATGGTTATCTAGAGACTTGAGAGCTTAAGCTGAACTCCTTCTATTGCCCGCACAGTTTTAGCTCATGACAACTTTACTGATAACTATCGATAAAAGTCGCTATCGAAAACCTGCAAGACGGAGTGTAGCGGCAGCTCTGCGCAGGGTATTTCCTAGTCGGACAATTCGGATGGGGGGGGTTTCCGACATTACTCGACAATTTTCTTAAGCAAATTTCCGCTTTGGATTTCCTGTCAGCGTCCCGTCAACGTCCATTGGCAAATCCGTCGACCATTCCGTCGGCCCGGCATAAATTATGCCCGACAGCCATCAAGTGGGCGTTGGCACGCCCCCTTTGCCAGTCTTTTGTTTGATCAGTGGAGCAGGGCAAACAAAAAAAAAATGAGAAATAATATGCATAAACATACTGAAAGCTGTCAGTAGCTGAAATGGGATAGGAACTGGTCGTTGGATGTCGGTGCCGGCAGCTCAAGAGTCGAGGGGGGGGGGGGGGGGGGGTCAGGTGGGAGAACTGTGATTGGGAGAGGTGAGAGAGAGCTGAGAGCTGACCAAGCAAAAACCTTGACATGAAACATCAAAGTAGCATTTGCCAAGTCTGTCCCACAGCTTTGCCTTAAGCATATCAAATAAAGCCACGCCCCCGACCCTCGCCGAGCCACGCCTCCGCAGCTGGGTGGCCCACACAATATGGTTAACTGGCGGGGGAGGGGGTGGCGCAACCGAAACTAAAGCAAACACAACTTTGCCATATGCTTTGCAATTTCGATGGCAATCAATCGATTTTCGGTATCGAACTCACACTTCTCTACACATTTTCTTCTTCCTGTTACACGCATTTGCACAAAGCCATGATACTTTGTTTTTTACACCTTTCTCTATCAATGGGTGTGCTGGATATTGTCATAAGGGATCGGAGATAGAGAACGGAAAAGTGGGCGTTCCTTGCAAAGATTTGCTATTCAGAAAAACTTCTGACATGGAAGCACTATTAAAAGTCGTTGCTTGGAAATTGGTCGAAAAAACTGTGAAAAGGGGAACGAAATGATTTTTTTTTTTTTTTTGAGGATTACAAGAAGCGATAAACAAGAAAATTGCCGTGTCTCGGTGTCTCAACAATTGAAGAAAGTTCCTTGCAGTCATAATGCTCGACTTAACAGAGCTAATAGAAGCTCAGCTCCGGATAACTGCAACTCGATTGATAATAGGTATACAAGCTAGTATTCCGACTAACCAAGGACTTATTTATTCACATCGGAATCCGTTTCTTTCGTCGTTTAGTTTTTGAGCTTGAAGCCGAATATAAACTGATTCAACTTTAGTCTTTGCAACTTGAGACCTTCATTTGCTCGAACAAATAGTGCAAAACTTCTCTTCAAATGAACTCAAGGCCGATTGAAAAACAAGGAAGTCAATCAGTCAATCACTCAGTCAGTCAGTCAGTCAGTCCGTCAGTCCGTCAGTCCGTCAGTCCGTCAGTCAGTCAGTCCGTCAGTCCGTCAGTCAGTCAGTCAGTCCGTCAGTCGGTCAGTCAGTCAGTCAGTCCGTCAGTCAGTCAGTCAATCAGTTATACAGGGCGTGACAAGCTAAGCAAATAATCTTGTTGATCAATCAAATGGCCAGAAACTGGCTCGAGGCTCAACTTCAATCAAAGTGATGTACGCGAGCTAAGGTCGAGCAACGCGACCGAAGCGAAGCTGCCTAATTGAGCTGCCAGAAACGCAGACATTGACTGTCGGCTTGGCCCAGGTAACAGGCCGTGAGTGGGCGGGCAGCCATCTGAACTAATTTGATTGAGCAAACAATTGAAATTTATTTGATGTGGTGTTGATACGGCATAAACAATGTGATTGATGCTTCAGCCAGCAGGGAGCCTCGTTTCACACTCACATTCCCTTCGCCAGCGCCTTTCCTGTTTCCATGCCCGTTTCTATTCCCAACTCCATTCCCATCTGCATCCGCATCCACATCCGCATCCGCTTCGGTGCAGTCGCTATTTATGAAATCCTTCACCACCTCACGATAATCGCTCTCGGTGAAGGCAATCGACTTGACCAGACGCCCATCAGGTTCGCAGATGTACATCTTATAGAGGCGCTCCTCTTGGGGCTTGATTGGCTCCAACGACTGCAAGTCGCCATCGGGCAGACAGGCGATCACGGTCAAATCCTTCGTCAACGGATGTATGCGCTTCTCCAGCTGAAGGCTGTATATCACATGCTTCCGCTTTCGCTTCGGCTGCGACTGCGGCTTATGCGACGGCGATTGCGACATGACTTGAACAAGAACTAGATAAAAATTCAGATACAAATTTTAACAAAATATTACAAAACGAAAGAAAAAAAACACAAAAATTCAGAAAAAGAAAATATTCAAATTGAATTTCGATACGAACTGTTGCTGTGTGTGCATGTGTGTGTGTGTGTGTGTGTGTGTGTGTGTGTGTGGATTTCTGTGTATTTTGTTATGCGGCCCTGACAGAGGGAGACAGGGAGCCACTAGATTTGAGTTGAAGCACAACGCCTACGGAGTTCAGTTGTAAGCGAGATGCCAACTTTTTGGCAACTCTTCAAGTTGGCCCAAAGGGCTAAAAACATGGCCCGCATAATGATGAACCGGGCCAAGCCGCAAAACTGGCCAACAACAAAATCTCGGCGTGTGCATGTGCGCGTATCCAAGCGTCTTGCTTTCTACCTTACAGCCCCCTCCCCCCATTCATGTGTGTGTGTGTGTGTGTGTGTGTGTGTGAGTCTTGTTTACATTACTTTGCGCCATGCATGCGCCCCAGGCTGCTGGCAGCAGCAGCAGCAGCAGCTCACATTTCCACAACTACCCCCACAGACTCAGACTTTCGAAACTCAACTCTCGACACTCGACTCGATGCTCGACTCGGCTTTTATCATCATCTTTGGCATCTTTCGCCTGCGGCTGGCGCTGGCTGAAAAATATGAAAACATGAAAACTTTTGCCCACAACTTCACAGGCCAACCGAATAAGAATCAACAGCAATAACAACAAGAATGATACGCCTGCTCTATGAGTATGCCCGACCAGCATATACCCTGTGGCATGCCAATTTATATCGAGACATCGACTTTAGGCGCATTTATACACGCTTGTAGAAAAGTATTATTATGTTGGGGAAATCAAATCGGAATCAACAAATAAAAATATCTTTATATGATTACCAGCTTCACGAACCGAACTTTGGTGCGAGGCAATGACTTGAACTGTGAACCGAACCAAGGAAATCTTTGCTGCAGACATGAACATAATGAAGATACCTTATAGAATTGTAGCCCCATCTAGATAACAAGTCCTGTTTTAGCTCGCAGACAACTGGCAGGACAGGTCATCGCTGGCGTCGTGCATGACGTTCTTTACCATTTTGACATCTTCTCAGCCGGCTATCAAATCTTGTCTTCTTTTACTCGGGCAATCCACGTTTACAAATCATTGGCCAGTTCATGATGACCATGACCATCATCATCTGCAATGTTTCAGTTTTGGGGCCCGGTTCGAGCAAATCTCAGTTAAGGACTCACAACGGCAACCCATTCGCTGGGCATAAAATAAAGAATGAAAACTTAAGCATATGCAATCCAATGGCATTTTAAGCACAGATGAATTATATGCTCCGCCAGCAGCCACGCCCCACTTTCGGGCTTAGCCCCAGCCAACAGCTAACAGCTACCAGCTACCAGCTAAGAGGCAAGCAGCTGCTGTAGGTGCGGGCGGTGCGGGCGCACGAAGAGGACGTCGTGTGCCTTTGGCTCGTTTTGCCACCTGGTTTTATGGTTCATAAAGTTGTTTCCCAAGCAGCGGAAAGCGCCATCTGTCGGCTGGCTTGAATGATAAACTGATTTTACATTTATTTTGCTTATTTTTTTGTTTTTTTTTTTATATTTTATTTAATTTTTATTATTATTATTTTTATTATAATTATTATGAGTTGCTTGAGCAGCAATCGCGGTTGCTGTACTTGAGTGTGTATGTGTGTGTGTGTGTGCGTGTGTGTGTGTGCGTGTGACATATGGCACACACTTGAAAGTAATCATTATCATCATCATTATCATCATCTGTATCATTATCGTTGGCATCATCATGTTGTTTGCCGCTGACGAGTTGTTAATGATAAACAAAATGATGATAAAGTCGAGAACGTCTCGTCGCTTCTTGCTTCTTGATGAAAAACGCTTTGGGCCAAGAAAGTTGTTAACATAAAATGGCTGGCTGCACACACACACACACACGCACACACAAGCACACACGCACACACGTGGCTGCTATGTGCGCTTAGCAGCTTTGCTCTGATTTTCTCTTTTATATTTTTTCTTTCATTATTGAAATGTTTTGCATTGCCCGCTCCGTTTTGGCGGCTGCCTGGGGGTTCATCTCTGCGACCGCCGCTTGGCAACTGCTGGGAATTTATGGTCCCACACACACACACACACACACACACACACACATGCACGGCGTTCACCTTTTCCCGTTAATAGCGGCCATCTGTCATTGCAATCGTTATTCGGGCACATCAATTTCAGGCATCAACGCATTTTATGCCCATTTTATTTATAGTCACAACTTGCACAACTAAATCAAGCCCAGAACCTGGCCAAATAGCACGATTCCATCATATTTTCAATACAAACAGCAACCCAAAACACACATGAGAATTGCCTTAAAGAGCAGCTACTCAAGTTGTTTAAAAAGCTCTCAAATCTGTTCGAGATTAAAATTAATTCCAAATTTAAATTAGGCAGGTAAATCAAATGCAGCATGGAAAAAACAAGGACTTGGAGAAAGAGAAGGTAAACAAAAATTGCTTGGCATCATGCCGGCTCGAGCCCTTAACCATTATTTTTCTTTTAACTGTGAAACGAACTTGAACTCAAATAGCTTGTGTTCGTTCCCAATTGCGGGTAGCATTAAGGGCTAGAAATTATATGATAATACTTTTCGCACAACAGACAATTGCATTTGTAAATTGCCTCATCTTTAAAGCAGCAATGCAATGTGCTGCATCCGACCTGCCGGACCCGGAAGTAGAACAAAATTGAAGTGATAAAGGATTACGTTTTAGTCTAATTGGATTAGAAAAAATTGATTGGTCAATTTTACTCGTAATTACCATATGAATAAATATAACACCAAGCATATAAATTAATAAAGTTAGCATACACAGCAAATTATATAAATTTGTCCCAGTTGTGCCGAGCAAATTGTGTGTAACGCATATAAAATGAAAAGCGCGCAATTGTTAAGCTTTCAGCTGAAAACTAGCTCATTAAGTGCTGAATGCTTTGCGGCTTTGTGAATGTTTGGCATGAAAATCGAGCCACTTTAATTTTGTTAAGCAGTGTTATCATCTGTTGGCTGAGATAATTGCGTTGCCGATAATTGTCATTAGAGTCGCCATTTTTGGGGATCCACGTAGGAGTGGGTAGCTGGGAGACCCTTCCCTAGTCGGCCAGTGTAGCCCCACCCCCACAAAGCAAGAAGAAGAGGATGAAGAAGAAGAAGAAGAAGAAGAAGAAGAAAGAACAACACAACACAAAGGGAGACCCCAAAGAGCATGCTATCAATTTTATTTTTATTTATTTTATGCCCGCTCCGCAACTCTCGGCACATTTGTTTGCTTTTTTGGCGCTCAGCTTCAGCGCATTTTGTAGCTCGTAAAAGTTTTTGATATAAAATGTAAACAAGCGGCTGGCAAGGGCGGCAGAGCGAATCGAGTGGGTGTGGACGGGGGGAGCAGAAAGGGGAAAGGGGAAACTGGCAGAAACACACAACAGGAGACTTCAAATTATATGCAAGTAAAAAAAAAAGGAGTTAAACACGAGCCCGACAGGCTCTCAGCCACTTTTCGGCCGTTCGTTTTGGCCGGCCCGCCAGTTTGGCCGGAAACGGCTATGGCTACGGCTAAATTGTTCAAGCGCGGACATTTGACAGAGCTGCCCCGTTCGCGCACTTGCATGCATTAATTAAAAGCTCTGGGCCACAGACAGGCATCAGCTGCCTGAACGTGATGGCAAACATAGCCCCCAGCCAGGGCGTCGAAGGCGGCCAGCCAACCAGTTAAGCCTGAGCTTAAGCTGGAGCCGGAGCCGGAGCCGGAGCCGGAGCCGAAGCTGGAGACTGAACCGAGCTATGTTTAACGGTTGGCAACTTTGTAAACAAACAAAAGGCACACAGAAAAAGGCTAGTTTTTAGGGATACGACAAATAAATACTCTACTAAGCTAACAAGCACAATTATTCTCTTTCTGAAATTAACAAAGTAGAATGATATATACCTTCTAAATATTTTTTTTTACCAAATTGAGTTATCTAGCCTCTGACTCCGTGTAGTTTATACCAAGCCGAGCTATGACACATACATATATGGGATATATGTATGTCATGTAACCATATAAGAATATTAAAGAGCCTGGTTGCAGGCATACTCAAAATTATTATAATTTCTTCTGTTTAAGAGCCCATATCGTTCAAGATAATATGGGTACACATATGATACATATAATGTATATGGCTTGGCTTAAGTACCGTTAGCCATGCTTTTAAAACGCTTAAGTATGCTCTTTTAATTATTTATAGCACATCCCAAAACCTTGCTGTGCAATTATGAAACTTATTTTAATGGGTTTTGGCCGACACAGTATCTTAAAACTAAAACAATTTGTAGTTGCCTTTTGTATACAAGCGGCCATATATCAATTTTGCTGACAGCAGATCTTCGGGCTTCTGAGTTCCTTGGGTCTGGCACACGTCTCAGCCAAAATGCACGCTGCCTGTCATTCACCTTACCCAAACTATTTGCCAACGCGACATGGGCAACTAACCCTGCACAAGCAAAATAAAATAAAATAAAATAAAATAAAAGAGCAGGCGTTAGTGGGCTTGCCTAAGCAGTGGCTTCTGCCCTCTGTCCTCTGCCCCCCCCCCCCCCCCCTGCACATTTATCAGCTGAGCAGGCGGCCAATGTTGGCCCCAATGGGGCCCACCCAAAAACAATGGCAATGCACAGGCACAGGCACAGGCAGAGGCCCGTTCGGCCCGCTGCCCGCGCTGCGGCACCCTTCGCGGTGTGGGCCCTGCCAACTGTGCGTAACTATAATTAATTTCATTTTAGACTTGTTAGCAAATAAACGAGCAAACGATGCGGTCCATTGTTTGGCTACTGGCTCTTGCCATTGCAAAAGTGAAAGTCACCCGCAGGGCCAGGGACAGGGCCAGGGGCGGGGGCGGGGGCGGCGGCAGGAATGAAGAGTGGGCGTCTGGATGTTTGTGTGGCGTGCAGGCGT